ATATGTGTTGTTCTAATTTTCACAATAGGAATTGTCAATATAAATAAATATGACTAATTTATTCTTTTATAAATTTTAGAAATACTCCTTATTTTCAATCTACTTTCTTTACATTCTTATTCACGATGAAAAATAGAAATTCTGTTTTTTGTTCGATTTTTTGTTTCTTTGTTGTTGAAATATTTAATGAATTGACGGGAGGAAAAAAAACACAACCTCATAATATTATTTTTTTTAAGGCAACTAGTTAGTCTGTTTGCCTATCACTCTATCTCACCTTATAGCTAGTTCGAAATAATAACACGAAAAAATATGAAGTGACTTAACTTTCTTTTGTTAGTTAGTCAGCCAATGAGAAATTATTTTATTCTATTCAGCTATTGAAATACATCAGCATTCACGTAAACAATTTTATTTGTATTCAATAAAACCATATTATAAGACACAGCTTTGCATATAAATATTCAACTTAACATATCTCAGTCTTCAATAACATTGAACTAACAACAATGGTATAACAATGGTGAAACTAATAATAATGCTATGAACATTTTTCAAAAATCTCATTCTTTTAAAATTGGCATATACTTATGTGTATATATGCGTATGTATATAATATTGGAAACATTTAGGTTGTTTAAGTTAGTCGTAGGAAAAAAAAATTTAACTGAGAGAACCAATCTATCAAATTCAAAGGTAAATTTCTTAACTTATCCACTATGATTGTCGGCATACGTAACATGTTTCATAGACCGGTGAAACTGCATTAGAATCTACACAAAAAATAAGTGTACTCATTTTTTATAACAGAAACAACCATTTCCTTTCATTTACAATTATAATATGATTAGTTGACTTAAAAATGAATAATTACGTAAAAAATTTGCTGTCAGAATTGAAAGCACATTGTAAAAAAAATCATCGTCATACATCCAGTTAACATTCAGAGTCTAAAGATTCTGCCTTTTCTACTCTAGACATGATATCAGATTTGTAAAATTGCACTGTACACTATCGTTTATGTATTTGAGTCTATTTTTGTTGTAACTGTTTAATAAGGAGGAAATATTTTATTCAATAGTATGGTTGGCTTTTGAATGACCTATCTACTTTCTTTCATGTCCTAAATGGGAACCACAGTTTTGCTGTTCTATGTTAGATAAATCATTATATAAGTGGAAATTTTTTCACTCATTATATTACATTTACTTGAAGTAAGAACTGATGATACAGTTCAGAACGAAAATAAAAGTTTCTCTCATGAACTAACAGACTCAGGGAATGCTACATTGTCAGACAATAAATAATAATAATAATAATCGGTCGTATATAATGCGCTTGACTATTTATGTTTCTGCTCTAAATGTAATACGAATAAATCACAACGGTTAGTGTTGGCTTGAAACATGAAGTCGATTATTGAACAGAAAAGGGCTGATGTCAGGTAAAATATTACCTTGAGGTTTTTTCATACAACAACATTAGTTCATGAGTGAATTACAATATATTATGACTTTATTAAAATTCGATGATCGTTTGTTGTAAAATCACTGGTTGTACTGAACAAGCGACGAATTACTGTTACTCCAAAAAAGTAAATTTTTCTGCTACAAGTTTGGAGTAATTAGTCTCCTATTAATCCTATCCTGAAGCAGCACTGTATCAAACACAGTTAAATTTAAGGTGTTCTAAACAATAATAGGAAATTTGTGTCTTTCGAGTTCTAGTATCCGATCCGAAAGAGCAAATTATGAAGTCTAGCATAGGTTAAATAGCAATTTACTGAAAAATGTTCACAATAAGATAAATGTTATCTGGTTTAGGAGTGGATATAAAGAAAGCTAAAGGTGGTGAAACCAAAATGTGGTATTATCAGTCTGTGAAATTACTGGCTGATATATAGAGCAGCATTGGTAACTACAGCATAATCATCATAATCGGCATGATCATCACTGTAAGTACCGAAATAAACACATCGAATCAACAGCAACAAAATGTTAGATTAACTAATAATCGTTTAGTCTTTCTAAGTATTGCATTACTATTTCCTTGTTAATTTCAACAAATTAACACAAGTATTTACACAATATTCACATTGTATAATGCAGTAGATCTTATCAACTGTATTTTCATGTGCACCATGTTTATGAAACAATGATACTATATCTGTCAGAAAAAAATTAGAAACAAATCATTCTTTACCCAGAAATAATAGTACTAATAGCAAAAATAAAAATGAAGGAAACTAGAAATAAGGTTTAGCTTCTTACATTCATTTAGAAAAAATTAAAATCTAATTAAATCATGACAATTTCAGATAAAATTGAAAACAAAAAACATTGAATTGAATACTGATTAAATTTAATTTATGATATAATCAATTGTTATTATTGGATTATTGCAATTATATATGTTTTAGTCAGCTATTTTAGTCATCAATATATATATATATATATATATATATATATATATATATATATATATATTTACATCAGTAAATTTTCTTTCTCAAAAAAAACATTTAGGTTGAGACTTAAAAGCAAATAAGGTAATATAAGTGAACTCAAAACAGGCAAATAAACATTCATATGTATATGTAAGAAATTACAGTTAAATAAAACAACAAAACCGTTTATCCAATATTATATTCTAATTGTGATTTGATATAAATGTTAGCAAACAAAATCATAAACAAGAATCTACTGAAAAAAAAGACAAAAGAAAATAAGTAGGAAAAGAAATATAATGATGAACAAAGGCAAACAAACAAATTACCATGAACACATGGATGATTTAGAAAGCAAGCCTAATGTAAGTGGGTAGAATTGAAACTTTTGAAGAAAACAGTAAAGAGAAGAAAGTGAGCAAGGACAGGAGAATAAGAAAGATAAGATAAATGAAAAAATAAACTAGAAAAGATACCGAAAGCAAAGAGCAAGACAGTGGAACAGATTAAAGAATAATCACATTCTCATTAATTTGTTAAGAATCATAATAAGTATCAATAGGGTAAAAATAATGTATGCAGAATTCATTTGTGATTCATGTTTGTTCAGTTGATTTGATTAAGATATCTTCTTGATCATTTAAAATGCATAAACCAAGGTCAAGTGGTTGATAATAATAATAATAATAATTATTATTATTATTATTATTATTATTATTATAAACAGAGGAAAAATAATAACAGAGATAGAAAGAATGATTCATGGAGTTCAGTGTAACATATCTACACAAGGAAATGTAATGAGACAAGTCATGATCTTATTTCAATCGTTCTGTCAAATAAATACCAGTTTAATAAGCATAGAGGATTTCAAACACCTTACAAATAAACATGTATATATATTTCATGAATATCTAAGCTTTTAGGAGTACCAAAAATGTAGAACTTCCGCTAGCAGGAAAGAAAAGTAATCATTATAAAAACCTCATCATGACAACTGCATGCTATGAATGATTTGTAGAGTTAAACAAAGAAACAAAATGTGATTTTCAGTTCGTGTTTAATTGATCACTTTTATATATAACTTATCTTGTTAAATATATAACAACTAAATTATTACATTCAAGTTAACTTATTTATGCATTTTAAACTGTTATGAAACACTTAAGTTATATTGCCGATTAATTAACATGAAAATGTTCAATAACTTGATATAATTTTAAATTTACTGAAATATTTGAACTGTAATCAAATTCAGTTATCATCGCAACATCATTACTATATCGGTTATTAGTTTAGTGTACTTTGTACCTCTAAATTATATAACACAATTCACTTGATTCGATGTTGACACCGTTGTAACATAAGCTAAACAATTATGATCAGATTTATTTACATAACTCTCTATATTAACCTAAAAGCCATATGTTCAAGAACCAAATCCTGTTTTAGTTCTTACGCATGATGAAACAAATAATATTTTGATCAGAACAACAATCTACCAAATCTAAGCCACATAAATCTTATTTACAATGTGCTGCTTTCATCGTTAAATCTAAAAGTAAATGTCTCTCTTTCACATTCATCAATAATGTGTACACAATAGTGAATAGCTATGAACAGTGTAAAACAGAGACGTCCAAAGCTCTCAAACTTTCAACAGTCTGATAACTGACATCAGGCTGTAATGAAAACTATCTTCAAATTCTTTTATGTAAATCCTTATATGTCAATAGAAAGATTAAATTTGAGTTGCTTATCTAGTATTTTACCTGGTAATTTGTGAAAACTAATTCAATGCTTTGGTAAATTTAAAGCTGAGATATTATGTCTGAGTATTAACTATGAATAGAGTGCAATGTAATGTGATATGTTTTATGCAAATTCTTATATTACCAAAGTGCTGTGTAAAACGTAGGAAAGCATGTTACAAAGTAATGTTTCTTTCTGATAAAAATATCATTGAATAAGACGTAGTTCGGGAAGATTGCAATTCGTTGTGTTATATAACGAAATAAAAAAGTCAAAATATTCATTTCAAGTTTTAAGTTAAGTAGACTTAACCATGAAGAACAACACAAACTTCATTACTCACTCTGTAGACACTTTCAAAGGTCTTAAATTAAGAAGAAAATCAGTCCAGTCGTTTAAACAACTAACAGATCAATAGAAGAAGGAACGAATGAAATACTGTAAACAGTACGAAAATAAATCGTGATTTAAACTAATTCTCACTATTTTTTCAAACCGACTAAGGAAATCAAATGTAAAATAACTCTTAAGGATATTATTCACTCGAAACTATATCCAGTTTATATTATCAGTTCTTAACTTCTTATTAATTTGCCATAACGTAACTCATAGTTCACATAGATTGTTTTGTGGGATTTTCATACAATAAATCAGTTTCATAACAAAGTCAGTTATAATAACAAAACTATTTACGTAACATTTGAAAATTATTAAATTATTATAAACGATAAAACTGTAAAATCAAATTGTGAAAAAAAGTAAGCAACATGAAATTAACGAGATTATAGGGAAATTCACTTACCATATTTTACTAAACATATATCACCAACAACAATATCACCAACTAGTACTTCTGTAATATCACCATCTCGTAAAACAGACATTTTATGATCTGATTCAATTTTATCTTGTAAACCACGAAATTGTCTTTCTTTTTGCCAATCATTTGTTGCCGTCACTAAAACTACAACTACAACAGCGCATAGTATAGCAACACCTTCGATCCAACTAACTTCCCCTTCACTCTCATCACCGGAACTATGATCACCACCAAAATCTATAGAGAAAAAGAAACAAATTGAATAATGTGATTACAGCTAGTTTAAGTGGGAAAACAAGTTAAAATTCTTGTTTTCAAGAGAAAATTTTTGAACTCTTTAATACATACTCAAAAATTATGATCAGAATAATATCAATATTACAGGTTCACCCGGTGTTTTATTGTGTAAATCTTTACATAATTAGTTATGAACTTCTTTCAATTTATTTAAATAAAATGAATTCTAATGAAACCGTAGTATAAGAAAATATTATTAAACTTGATTGAATTCTATCTACTTGTTTATAAACACTTCAAAGGTTGCCATTCGTATATTCCTGAATAAGTTTGATGATGGTATTGTTCAATAATAAGTTACTACCACAAAGCTCCATTGTTTGAGGTAAAAATTCGCTTTCTACAGATTTTAGTGCTTTTCACAACTCACGCACACACAAACGTACTGTGTTTTACGAAAATTGAAGATATATGTAAACTATGAAGATATCGTGATCATTGTTTAATGAGAAAAAAACTTTGTTTTTCTTCAGGCAGTTTTGATTATGAATTGACAGATTACACTGATAATGGTTTATAGACTTTAATATAGACGTTGAGTGTTCACAATGTGTTTTGACTGACAAAAAAATTACGGACACATCTACTTTCTAATATGCATAGTCATAAAAACAGAATTTTCAATAGCAAAACAAATACTGTTTGATTTATAGTTTTTTCAGAAAGAGCAGTGTAATATATTATTCGATAATTACAAATTTATGTTAAACAGTTAGTAATAAATATTATCAGCTTATAATATCTCATATCATTTTTTTGAAAAAAATGGACACAAATTAATGTAACATAGTTTTTTCGTATTTTCTGAATAAATAATTCTGCTCTCAATCAGCTCAGTTTGACGCGAATAACTAGTATATTGAAATTATGAATCAGTCATTGTTAGATCACCATTAGCAATCTGTAAGTACTGGACGGCTAATTCATCTTAGTACAGGACTCATAAGCAGTGCTCATCTATGATAATAATAATCTTTAATAATCTCCATAAATCTATAATAAAAAATCATAAAATGTAACCACTAGTGAGTAGCTTAATGAAGAAATTCTCGAATTTCTATTGAAAAATAGTGACCAGTCGATTTCAACATTGTCGAATTTAGGCGGTTACATATCGAAGACAATGAGTAAGATTGCTTAATGCCTTGGACTAATGAAAGTTGAACATTTACACAATTAGATACCGATCCATCGGTCTACGGATTAAGCGTTCGCGAGCCACATTGAAGTTTCTGGGTCCGAATCCAGTGAGCGGGGATCGTTGGTACTCACTGCTGTTGAAACTCATACTGGGGCGAACCCGCTGTCCAGTGCTTCTAGGTTCCTAATGGTGGCCGAACAATAATCGATTTATAATTCAATAAAACTCGATAATCTCCATAACTCTATAACGGAAAGTTTTTTTCGTTTTATTTACCGCTGTCAAAACTAACCATGAAAATGAATTATGGAAAGAATTTTTTTCCGCCCAAAATCGATATCAACGAAAGCATAATGGTAAAAACGTTATGGATCAATTCATCATACTTCAGTTGTTCATGGAAATTAAAACAGTATAATCAGTAACATCATTTAGCCTGATATGAATCATAATTTCTAATTGACAGGAAAGATAAGATTTGATATAATTGTCTCGCTTCAAGTTCCTACGCCTTACTTTGAATTAGTAAACTCAAGAGCAGAACATTCAATGTGATATTTCAGTGGTAAAAAGTTATAAGTTAACAATCTAACATAAAGTTTGTAGGTTGAAATGCAACAAAAGTAAATATTAAAATAAGAATTGTATAACAATGCAACATATAGAAGTGGGTGAAAAATGAAAAGTGAATGTATCTATGTCCTTATATCCTATCATTACAATATGTATACTATGCTTAAATTAACCTAAAGATTCTGGATTGTTTAATATATATTAGACTAGTAAGACAAGTGTTATTTTGTTCTGGCCGTCTTTAGTTGACTCTTTCGAACTATAACTTTGCTGGTTCATATTGCATATCAATGTATATCATAAATGGCCATAACTAAAGCTTCTTTCGACATTCACAACCGATAAATCCTCACAGATTCATCAACCTTTTTACTATCACCACGTAGTACCTTACAGTCAACCTAAGGTATACTCATTCAGATTTACCACTATCAAACAACAATCCTTCCAAACAATCTATGCTCAGCCTATGACTGACTCAACGTTCTTACTAACATCTATACACAAACCTAATGTATAGCTAACAATCATTTCCCAATTAGATTACCTATCAGACTATGTTATGTTTATCTGTTATAGAACATTGATTGAATATTATTTTGTTTTAATGTATCATAAATACTTAATGAACAATCATTTTGACAAATATGAATTTATTCAAAAAGGTAACTAAGGACGATTTAGTAGGAGAAGAAAAAGAAAACTAATATGATTATTCTGATAATAACATATATATTCCCAAAGTAGATCATTCAGTTTCAATGACAATTCACCTAAATTTAATTAATAAACTGTACTGCAAATGATATGTTGTTATTGTCATTTTTTGTGCATTTCTTCTATTCATCATAAAATCTCATTACTGTAGAGCATCATGAAATTTTATGCTAAACATTGATGATGATGATAAGAATAATAATAATAACTGATAATAAAGATATTATTATTATTATTACTATTAATATATTCATATATTGAGAAAAGGTTGTAAGGGCTCTGTTTTTCTTCGCCTTATTATTCTATAAATAATAGAAGATACCTGTCACTTCTCATTTATTTTTTAATTTCTTTAAGGCTAGTCTTTATTGACCTTATATAGGTTGATAAGAGAAGAATAATGATTGATAGATAGGGAATAAATAAATTATTATTTTAAACAAAAATAGAAAGAAAAAAGAACTTTTATTATGTTCTACGAAACAGTAATCATCAAATATATGTATATATAAGCATATATATATATATATATGCATATGTGTAAATATATATATCTACATATATATCTTAACAACTATATTAGTGTTCCATTTACTGTGGATGAACTTAGTCAGTTATCAGCTGGTCAAGAAAACAATAAAATTAAGAAAGAATATTTATATTGGGTACACATTACTACATATCATATCAGCACACTTAAAACAAGAAGTTAACAGTAGAAAAAGCATAGAAAAGAAAATAATATTCATTGTAATGGAAAAATGTAATTTCAAAGGAATTAATAAATTTGAAGAATTTAAATTACGAAGTAGAATTAAATTTAAGATTTAAAGTGAAACTTTGTTGATATCGACCGTTAGTCTCCGGTCAAAGTTTACAACTTTTCAGTTGGAAATTTGAATCTTCACGAATAACACTGACTGATAGGCGATGATTTCTAGAACTAATGATATGTTTCTATTCATCCACTTTTAAAATCTTTTTAACTCATGATAATTATTTTGTTGAGTATGTGGTTGTCGAGCATATGTAATACACGTTCAAATAAATTTTATAGTCCCATCAACTGACTTCTAGTTTAGTTTAAAATGCCAGATGTCTAATTTTGAAACTGCTTACTTAAAGGGTTCTATAATATTATTTATTATAGCAACTATCTTCAGAAGGAAATTTATAGCCTTTGAGTCAGCACTTATGACCCATCAAGTTCAAACGTTTGGGGTACAAGAAAGTTACACTCAGTCCCTAGTTGCCGGGTAGCGCATGATTACTGCTTTGGGATGCTATACTAGGAAGAAATGTCTGTTCAATACTTTCAAGTTTTCAATGACTGACTAACTTAGATCAGTTTTCAAGTTCTACAAAACTAATATTGCCTGATATGAGATTTTAAAAAATCTACCTAATACACTTCCTGATATCATTCAATAAAAGTTTTTAAAAATCATGCTGGTCACAACGTCGTTTTTTGGTTGTAATAGGTTTGTTAAAACAAACGACAGATAAACGTACATTTTTTTTAAGCATATTTCCAAACAGAAAAAATGTCATGTACTACAAACATGTATTTGATCAGCTTAACTATGAAACTTGAATACAAGCGTAAATATCAAATATCCATGTAAATCCCTAACTAAATTATACAAATAAATCACTAAGACAAAACAAACCTTACATACTGTGAATGACAATTAAACGTTCGCTTTATTTTGAACTAATGAAAAGTTTTCTCTATTTCTGACATGTCAATCATCTTAAGATTTTACACTGACAAAACTTATGGAATTCATTTTTAAAATCGTCTAGAAAAATTGACGTTTTATATTATTTGCAGTTTTTTTTCATCTTTTTAAATATGAATGATTTGAATAGTAGGTAACTAGTTTGACGGAAAAAAACACTACACGTATCTATTCTTGAATTCACTCTAATGTCAGAATACTGTCATTCCATTATATCTACATTTCGGATGCTGTAGTTTTATATTCATTTCTCTAAAATGTATTATATGTCCTTTTAGTTACAAAATTATAAAATGTGCTTTTCTTAAACACATTTACTACATATTTAGAAAAAATTAACCTACACATAACGTTTAGAGTATATATTAGATAAGAAAATCAGTATTAGTTCATTCGGATTTTCAGAAACTTGTATCATACAGAATAACATTATTGAATGCTGTTTTCTTTCAACTGTAAAATACCTGTGAACTACGTTTATAAGCTACATCAAATATCGATTTTTGAAAAATAACACGTATTGGAAGATTCTCATTGAAACAAGTTATTGAGATTTAGACACAAAATGAAATTGTTAACATAATAGGTTTATTGAGATTATATTATGTATTGATCTAAGACAATCGTCGAAAGTCAGAAAGCACTGGACAGGTGTTTTGTTTTATTATAGGACCTCGTAACTGTGTTTATTCATGATTCCTCCAGGAGCATTCAATTTCTATGGATCAATTCCACAAACTCTAGACCACTGAGTTGGCATCCAATGG